GAGTTTTAAAAATTGGGAACGCAGCTAATGGGGGGCAAATTCAAGTTCCGGATATAAAATCGTGCTCTCGTTGGCTGATTTGAAACTCGTCACCAATGGGAACACGAATACACATCCGGGACTTGAATTTGCCCCCCAATAGTCGCGTTCCCTTTTTTACTGAATTAAGATTACAATGCCTCTTCTAGTGTTATTTATAATCTCTATGGTCACAGTATCTATCATGAATGATGTAATCAAAACCATGATCAAAACAAACGTATTCGCGGGAAAATGAAAATATTGGATTCTGATTGGATAATTGTCGCTCGCACATTACCTAAATACCAGCCTAGACCTAGGCCTTCTAGTCTTATTTATATTTTTTCATATTCAGCGCTTTTTCACATGAAAAGACTGGGACTAGGTGATTTGGGGGCGGGGCGAAGGAACCAAGCCTAGAAGGCCTAGTTGATTTCCCAACAACAAGGCCAAAACTGCCCTGAAACTGCCCTGAAACTGCCCTGGTTGCGAAATGCCCAATTATTGCGTTCTCAAACAGAAGTATTTGCAACTTAACGGCGAATTTAAACGGATACAGGTAAAATAAACTCATTTATAGTATAAACTTACTACTTTTATTTGTATACACGTCTAGAAAATCGGGTTTTTTATCATAAGTTTGAAGCAACACTATTATTATGTTGACAAGGTGTAGCGAAAGCACAAAATGAGTCAAAATATATACCAAAAGTAGAATCTTTCATGAAATTTTGTCTTATACACAACTACATTAATATATATTTTATAAATTTTGGCAAGAAGCAGTCTTGTGTTTGTAAAATATACAAACACATATACAATTATAATTTATTAAATAAAACGGATACATATATTATTAGCCCGTACGGTACTGTATATAAAAACGTACATTGTTTACAAATGGTATATCCGTAATATTTGAACAATAATTTCAAAATCCTCATTCCCAATTCGCAAATATAGTTATTCAAAGCAAAACAGTAGATTGTCTTGCGAATAAAAGTTATTATTTTGTACTTTCGCTTCACCTTGTCAACATAATAATAGTGTTGCTTCAAACTTTATGATAAAAACCCCGATTTTCTAGACGTGTATACAAATAAAAATAGTAAGTTTATACTATAAATGAGTTTATTTTACCTGTATCGGTTTAAATTCGCTGTTAAGTTGCAAATAATTCTGTTTGAGAACGCAACAATTGGGCACTTCGCAATCAGGGCAGTTTCAGGGCAGTTTTGGCCTTGTTGTTGGGAAATCCACTAGGCCTTCTATTTTTCCGCTTGCGTCAGGCTTGTGTCATTCCTCCGCCCCGCCCCCAAATCACCTGGTCCCAGTCTTTTCATGTGAAAAAGCGCTGAATCTTAAAAAAATATAAATAAAAATAGAAGGCCTAGGTCTAGGCTGGGGCGATACCAGGAATTTTAATTCGATACCGATACCGATACTTTTAAGATCGGTATCGGCCGATACCGATACCTATTTCGATACCAAAATACACACAAAATTTCAATTTTCGATACCGGAAGTGAGTACTTAAACCGCTAGTATCGGCTACTTTCGATACCTGCCGGTCAGCGGAAAAAATTTTACATTTAACAAATATAAAACATTTTCCGTGTTGATATACAGTTATATCAACACGAGTGGAAGTTGGGAAAACGAGAAATTGTGTGGAAACACGATGCCCGAAGGGCGGAGTGTTTTCACACAATTTCGAGTTTCCCCAACTTCCACGAGTGTTGATATAACTATATATCAATACGGAAAAAAATGTTTTATATTTGTTTTATAATATAGCAATGTCAAAAGCCCGAAGAATAAGAAAAATTTTCGTGTTACAAGCGGCGGAAAATTTCCCGTGTTGACATGGAGTTCTATCAACACGGCTCTTAGCCAATCAGCGTTCAGAATTTACAAATGCTATATTATAATACTGTATGTAAAATAAATAAAGCTATAAGTAACCAAAAGCCCGAAACGTAATAAATATTTTCTATACATGACTTGGCGCACCACATTTGCAATATTAAGGGTTATTTTAGTGGTTCATTAAGTCTTATTCAACCAAGAAGTGAAATTAAACAAGTTGTTTAAAAAAGGGTGCAAGTATCGAACGATACCACGTCAGTAATCGATACCGATACCGCTGTTTGTGGTATCGCTGGTATCGAATACCGAGTACTCGGTATCGCCCATCCCTAACTACTGCAGAAAGTAAAAGATAAAAATAATGGAAGAAGTGAAGAAAAACATTAAAACGTTTCTGGAGATCTTGCAGATAGGAAAGAGTGAATCAGTGATACACTGGGATGAATCAAATTTTAAACGAGCTCAACGATGGGCACAGTATGCCGAAGAGGTTTGTTTGTAATTTTAACTTAATATATGCATGGATGCATATAGGAAATTGCATTCATCGATCACCAGTTCACAATGGATATTTTCAATCCTGAGTGACTTTAACATACACTTTTTGGAGTAATGCCCGCTTTTACTTAGAATATTGAACATTAATATGAAGAATGTGTAAAATTAATATGCGAGATATGAACACATGCCTAAATCACTCTTCTGTATAGGCTCTGGAATTACTGGAAAATTAAAGTGAAAAAGTTTAGCTGTAAGTCTGTAACAACTGTTGGTTACCAAAATTTCCATGATTTCTTGTATATAACGACAGTTGCAGTGTCATCCTCTGAGAAAATCTGCATCGCTCTGTTGGAATTAAATGTAGGTTAATTTGCACTATTAACAAAGGCAAGTGGATTTACCACTCAAGCAAACCAATTAGTTAATTGTTCAATTTAGATTACAAATTGTAATTTTTCTGTGGTTTTATATGCACAATGTACTCTTTGTCTTGTAATGTTTTGGTTGGACTTAATAATAAGGGACTTATATGTTCTGTTGTCCTTACCATTCATCTTTATAATATATTTGTTAATTGAGCAAAGAAAAGTGCTGCTGGACTCAAAAACATATGTGGAACTTCTGTGAACACCAGTACCTTCAAGATATTTGGATGTGCTTTTGGTGATACCTACGATTCCACCTCTACCAAATTCAATCATCCTGTCATAGGTGAAGATGTATTTGTCATAATTTTGGATGTATGCCATATGCTAAAGCTTGTCAGAAGTGCTCTTTGGCATTATTCTTAGTACAATTTTCACATCTGATAGTGAGAAATTGAATGAATGCTTTTCAGCACCATTCATTTGGTTTATTGTATTATTTTGTTTTTTATTGGTTCAGGTATATAGGAAATTGAAAAATAAACCATCCCTTGTGCAAGTTCTTTCAAACTATATCAAAGGGACACAAAAATCTAACCAAGATACTGTTGGTATGGAATTCACCTTCAATGACTTACAAGACGCTACAGAAACACTACGAATGGTACTGCTAAATAATCCTCATCTATCATCAGCACAGTTTTCACATGTTCTTGATCTGTATCAAGTAGACTTCTTTGCCGAATTAAATACAGGCTTAGAAAAAATAATCCAGGACACATATTCTATCAGTTGTAGTAAGGGGATATTTCTTATGTTGTCGAGTATAAAAGACCAACTGTCAGTCGAACATTCAGTAGAAGGTTATAAAAGTATAGGCAGAACAGAAGACACTTGCTTGGATACCTGTGCTAAATTGTTGTGGGGGAAAATTGGAAATTTAATGGAAAGTAAGTAACTTTAAAATCTTTATTACCAGTCCATTTTCTGTAAATTATTTACACAATATTAAATCAGAGTTAAATTTATAGCATATTGCATTCAAAACAACGATGAAATATATAACATGCTGATTCTGAAAAAAAACTTAAAATGTTCTTGTCCAAATAAAAAAATAACACAGTACAGCATAGAAAATCCTATATAAAATCCTATGTACCTAGCTATATAGAGGAGATTTTGTACCAGTTTACAAAGAACAGAACTACCTCATTTTTTGTTTACAAAGAAAACACTATATTATCTAAATTATGTCAATGGTTACAATGCATGTTTTATAGTGTTCCTGTATTTAATACAACACTTAGTAACTACTGGCATCCCTATTCAAGCATGATGAGTCCTATTTCACAATTATGTGCCAAGCCCAAGGATCTTTCACCATAATGATTGGTCATGGCGGTATTGCCTATAGACCCATTGCACTGACGTGACAAATCCTTAGAGTGTCCTCCAGATGCTGCCTAACAATATCTGTTCAGGTACAACAACCACATACAGCGCAAAAATTAACCATTTTAATACAAAATTATTATAAAGTTTTACAAAATTTGCTTTGTTTACAAAAGTTATATTATGCATAGATTGCTAATTTGTCCTCCAGATGCATCGTCACCGGCGCGGCGCTGTGACGTCATGTGCAATGGGTCTATTGGCTCTCCGGCAATTGCCATATGAAACTGACATGCGTGCATATCGTAGACTTTGGCAGACCACGTAACTTGCAATGACCACAGTCACCACTAGAGGTGTGCGTTCGGATTTCGGAACCAAAATATTAATTTCGGATCGGATTGATAAAGTTGTTTCGGATCGGATCGGACTTCGATATCCGAAATAAAATGAATTAATTATCCACGCATTATCACAAGAATTAATTATCCATGCATTTATCAAAGCATTATCGCGGTTGTCGCTGCATTATTGTTTGATATTTCAATTGGACGTCACTTTGTCAGCTTCTTGACATGTATTTCTTGCTTTTATATTTATTTGGTTAAATATTTCAACTTGAATGAGAAATTTATTTTATTAAAGAATTCTTCGGATCGGATTGGAATTCTTTATCAAAGCTCGGATCGGATTAGACAATTTCGGATCGGATTTTAAACATTAGGCAATTCTCGGATTATAAACGTCCAATCCGATCCGATGCACACCTCTAATGACCACTAACAATCTTTTTGGTCAAAGGCGTTGTCTGGACATGTGGCACATAAATATGAATCATCATGCTTTGAACACAAATGACTTCAACTATATCTTCCACAGTATCTCTAACTTGTTGGCCGATGACGTCATCTTCGAGTAATCAAGGAGCCACGTTACGACCACTCCTCCTTCCAACTGGACGCCAGTCTCGAAACGTTTGGTCGTGAAGTAAAAAAATAGTTTACGTCAACCAGAATTTCAACCAAATTCAACCATGTCTGCATTTGTTACTTTATAGACGGTGGTTTAAGTGACGATGGAGTTATCAAGAAAGTACAATCATTAGTTTTGTACAGTGAGAAAGGAATGGAAGTTGTATTGAGAATGTTAGTTCTCCTAATGAAAGGTGAAATACCAGTGAATGCCTCTGGCAATGGTGGGGCTGTTTTAGATCATATGAAATATCATGTACATCACTGGATTGTAGGTAAGCGGTATGTATTCATCATGATACTGTAATACCAAATGCGATGAAGAAGTATTAACAAGAACAAATAGCAAAGTTTCCAAACTCACTGAAATGACTGAATCCTCGTTTCATTTTAGTTCATTCGGAACACAATATTCTGATTTATTGCAGGATGCAATTGTTTACTGTCGGTGCAATATTTTATCAACACTTCTATTGCATCGACAGTAACTGGTGTGTGATTGTTCAAATCTCGCCCACACAAAACATTCACTCGAAATTAACAATTTTAACGACACGCTCGTCGGGCAAAAAAATATGTAATTCAGCAAAAAATGTTACATAATTTTTTGAAAAGTAATAATTGTAGGAAAACGTTTGGTAAATTTACGAAAATATTACTGAGAAAATGTTCAAAAATTGTTTTTCTAGATCCCCCAACAATTTTGGGAAAATAAATATTAATCAGACGAATGAAATGTCCGTCGGGCACTACTTCCGCCACACCCTTTTGGTCGGGCAAAACAAGCTTGCCTGTTCGAGTAGTACAGTCAATTTTTTTTTCAGAATGTTCGAAACATAATGAAGCAGATCATTATAAAAAAATGTGGTCTTGTCCATCAAGTTTGCTTTGCGAAATGTCGGCGATGGATACGTTGTTTTGTGAGAATTACTTGTCTTTCTTACACTCATGTGGAGATGGTTTACTCGGTATTGGGTAAGTGTACGTCACGCAAAATGGACTAGACGTCGACTCATAACAACGGGGCAGCCTATTCTCCACAATGCCACACATTTTTCACCCCATTTAATTTCGCCATGAACAAACAGACGCAATTGGAAATCTAAATTTAGGGGCAAAGCATTGATGTGTGTGGGCAGGTTGTCATAAGCATGATATTGAAGTCTTCATGTAAACGCATTCTTTGACCAGGACGAGTGCAAATTTGTATTTTGAAAATTCGCGAGAATTCATGCTATTGGAGTGAGTATTGCTGATTTTCAATGAAAGGCAAAATACCAGGAATCCCTATAACTCATTAATAGACCTTGCCGTTATTCACTTTTCACCCAATAGCCTTGTTTTCGTGTCAAATACTTACTCATGTTTTGTGCTTAGTAGGGTTGGAAATTACTTTGTTATTGAGCCTAAGAACAGCAAGAATCAAATTCGTCTAGGAAAACATGGGAATACAATCTTTATCTGCCCATGACAGACTAAAATAAGTTAACATGGAAATGAAGCTATTGGGTAAAAATCAGAAATCTGATTTTTGCCATATTTAACAAGGCAGGCACAATTTTATTAAAAATTTGAATGTTGTAGTCAAATGTAACGGCTCAGGGCTGTGTAACGGCTTTAAAATGTCTACCTCTAGATGTGATACAGTTGAAGATCAGACAAGCTATGGATCTAGTTATCGACATATCATTGAAAAGATTCAATTATTAATACAAGGACCTGAACACGTGTCAGAATTGTGTAAACAGAAGCTAAATTTATGGTCTATGGAACCTGCAGGAGAATTGTTGAACACAAGTTCTGATATATCATTAAAGAACCAAAAACTTAGAGCAAATCTATGGAAGAAAATGTACCATGAAACTTGTGAATAATTTTTTTCCAGAATTACTGGAGCGTACCATTAAACACGTATAGCCTCGACTTCGTTCTTTTGGAAAACACGGACATTTTGAACATTAATGCACAAGACATGAAATTATAGAATGAATTCGAGAGTACTGTACATGTGTTAATGTTACGCCACACGGCCACAATACAATTGTTCTTGAATGGCTTGTACAGCAATGGCAATGCTCTATTATTACTTACTCATTTCGGATATGCACGAATTTTCTTATTAATTCAAGTAATTTACCTGGTAGTTACGAAGTAATTTTAGGTGCAAACGAAAACCCTGAACAGCTATTCAAGGAACTAAATGTTGTTTATCAGATGATGTGGTTTAATTCACTTTCGTTTGTGATTACAGTGGAACCTCTATATAACCGAGGTTGCGGTCGGTTGGTTCCACGTGACCGTGGTGAAGAGGTTTCGAGACAGTAGCTAGACTGGAGAATTCACTTTGTTTGTTTTGGTAGCTTTTCGAGTATATAGTTTCAAATTTCCCGGATCTACACATAAAACTGTTCGTTGTATAGAGGTTGTTTCGGGATTTTTTATCAGAATGGTGTCCGGTTAAAAGTTTCAATAATAAGGATTTCAATCAGTGTTGCAACAGCTATCATTTGAAGGCTTTCAGAAATATGTGGGAGGGAGAAATCAGCGGGGGTGCTATTATGTGTATTGGTGTTGCTGTTGTAGCCGCAGCAGTCGTGTGCTATAACAAACCAATTGAATAATGGGCAATTTGATTTGTTTATCATTCCGTATAATATAAATAAACGGTATTGGACTGCATACTAAATATATACTACATATGCACTAAGACAACAATCACCACATACTATAGTATGTAATGACATTCCCGAATTACGCTTTAGTTGTCAAGAACAATAACGAGGCTTCGTGCTAAATTCGCTATAGAAACATTACAACTTTGCACGAAGCCTTAGGATATTGTCTGTCTGGGGCATTTGACCGTAATTAGGAAATGGCATATTAATATGATCACACCATATGATTGTCATATACAAATTTGTAATCGATCAAATCAGGTACAACCGTTTAAACCGCATTTGAAATTTTGCCACAACAGAGTTTTGTGGTTCAGATATTATTTTTATTTAGACGGCAAAATGAAGAAACGCAGTGTACACGGCACCATCGATGCGTTCACTTATACGAACAAAGTGTGTCAATCAAGTGCGACTATGATATATATGACAATCGTATCGTGAAGGTTTGCGTTATTATATCACCACCATGTTAATTAGAAGTTACTAAGTCTACTTATTCTGCTTTACCATTGGACAACGTTTACTTAAGGTAGTTCGGATAATTCTTTGTTCCTGCAAGCTTTGACCGTACTAGACCATCGTATTCATGTTAATTTCTACAATTTAAAATCTAATATACATGTATATGCGTGGATTCTCTAACTTGAATGTGAAATAACTAACCAACTAATGACAAAATAAAACAAAAATATTGGATAAACAGCTAACGCTTTCCGATGTGATGGTTGACTGTCACCCAAAAACTTTACGGATGCTAGAAACAATATCAAGAATTAATATGTAAATCCATGTAAATCCTGATGCATTCTCGTCCCCAGAGCCATTTTCACTCGGTCACTCATTGAAAATTAGGCTCTGGGTTAGACGACTAAAGGGATAGGTCTGATTGGCTTCTCAAAAAACTGCTATTTCACAGAAGTTGAGCAGTTTTCGCTGGGCAAAATTATTCTATCAACATATGTCAATACAAATACTTCGTTTCTTCGTAATACTTCACTGTGGAAATTGTTACGGGTACTAAAGCGTCCCAATCCAAGAGTATGCGCTTTAGAAACTACTGCAAGTTTTCTTGCACTTCCAGTTCCGTGTGTCCCAGGGCTACGGAGGACGCGTGCGGCCGAGAGGCCCTGGGGACGAGGATGATCCTGGTGATGGTAGTTTGCGAACGCAGACGTCATTCCCACGCTCATTCTTCGCTCGGAAAGTTACTTTCCGAGCGAAGAACGAGCGTGGGAAATGAATCTGGGTTTGCAGACTATGATGATGGATACTCAGTCCGAAAGCTTCATTTTATAACTTTTAGTAACTTTTTAATTTTTTATGCTAGTGATTACATAAACCAGGACAGAAATATAATTGCCTAGTATAACATCTCAATTCTGAATTAATAATATAATTAAAATTAAAGTCTAAAATTAAAGAAATAAATGCTATAGATATGGGATAAACGACAAATACTTACAAGTATCAAACCCCGTATATTACATAACAAACTATGATAGAGGGACATGCCAAGATAAATGACCCCTTCCGTTTTAACAACATGACGTCTTCAATAGACAATTCCCATTATAGACTAATTTTAAAACTAGGCAAGGAGATGCTAATAAATCAACACAGCTAGAAATAGCATACTAAAATTAGTGAAATTACAAAGTTTGCTTGCGAGATGTTGTAAAATGAGGAAAATATAGCCTTGCAAAGTTCACAAATTTTGTATACTTTTTGTATTGCGTGCGGAAATTCCTACCACATTCCGACCACATTTGGGCCGAAAATGGTAGCAATTTCCACACGCAATACAAAAGTATACAATATATTTTCCTCATTTTACAACATTTCGCAACCAAACTTTGTAAATTTACTCATTTTAGTGTGCTCTATCCAGCTGTGGTGATTTATTTGCATCTCCTTGCCTAGTTTTAAAATTAGTCTATAATGGCCCGGGAATTGTCTATTGATGCTTGGTTGGCCAGATCAGTTAAAAAATCTTCCATCAACTTAGAATTCGTATAAGTAATGTACTAATGTATTTCAGCTGTGAAATTTCCCAACTATTTTAAATATGATTTCAACTAGAAAATATTTTATTAACTCTTACCAAATGTTGACCATGCAAATGCCAAAATAACGATGGCAAATCGAATGGCAAACAGTAACGTTGTTTGACTTGCAAGAAGTATAAGTTGACATATCAACAGCGCCATATCAAGCGGAAGAACACAGTAACCAAGTACACAAACACTTTGAAAAAATGATCTGAAATTATAAAATTATATTAATATGATTATTGTTTGTATGCAGTGGCCGATACTTCGCAAAATAGTGGGGGAGGGGCGAATTTAGGTTGCCACCATCTTTAATACCACCCCTTTGTTGCTACAAATCTCAGTTCTTAAAATTGTGCTATAGTTGTCATCGAAATTTGCCTAATTTACAGCCTACAAATCCTCTCATGATGATAAAATTATTGTTTTTGCTTTGTTACGCAGTGAATCAGGCTTTCAGAAATTATTAGGGGGCAGTCCTCCCCAGGGCCGTAGCGAGGGGGTATGGGGGGTGCGGGGGTATTGGATAATTGCACTATTCGGAAAACTTACAAGCCTATTCGGAAAATTCGAACCAGAGGCGTAGTGTGGGCAAAATAACGAATTTATCGGCAAACCGTTTTCGTAGTCAGCGAAAATATTTAAGTGGGTCTGATTAAAAAGTAATAGTTATAGTAAAAAGTTTGAGAAATTTACGAAAATATTACCGAAAATTTTAACAAATGACGGTACATTATTTTGGGGATTAGAGAAAAATGGTATGTCCGTCTGGAAACTTTTTAACACCCCCACCCCCGCTAAGAAATATTAGTTAGCGACTGAAATGTTGTCGGCAAATGCGATGACACCCCCCAAACCTGAGCCTCTTCCCTACGGCCCTGTCCTCCCCCTGGCCACTCTAGTGTCCCGCAGTCTTTTGATACGTGACGACATCTCACTGCTAATGCATAAATGGATTCAGATAAAGTCTGCTCACGATACCGTCAGCTATAACACTTAGAAGTGTTTACGTCACAATTTTCAACCCATCAAAACATTAGGTATACGCAAAGCAATGTGGGGATACAGTGACGTGACGTAAGGACTTCTAAGGTCAACTGGAGGATGATGTTAAATTAAACAATGTTATACTTGCTACCGAATAGATGGATAAATTATATAATGAAAAATATTGACATCACTTAAATACCTATCGATTGTTTTGACGTTCAATACCACGTGCGGCATAAGTAGTAATGCTTACTGAAACCTACGTATACATAAGTGAAATCTCACATCTCGTCAACAATATGTTTTGAACAAGATGTTTTGAAATAGGTTTGCGGCAGTTATCAGTTGTAACTCATGACAACGCTGTCATTTTATTTTCATCATTAACGATCATAAATTCATCACCAATAAACATTTCATCATAAATCGAAAAAAGTTGTCAAATCGCGCGCGGTGTATCTCGGCGTTAAGTCTGCTGTAGACTTTTACCTGAATCTTCCACAGTTCACTCCCTCAAAAATCGCTACGAAAACATTCGCAGAATTATTCATGGAAAAGCTTTCTCATCATGAGCGACTGGGGACTAGCAAGAGCTTTTGTGCACTTTACGCACGACTGTCTCCGAACAGCTTCAAAACTCGGATAAATGCATTTTCGTTTTAGGAAATAAAATTTCTATTGTCTATTGATCCAGGTCAAATCATTAGACATTACGCCATTGAATCTATTAATATTTTTCATATGAATCTATTAATATTTTTCGTATTTTTCATATGTCCGGTCATTTACATACACAGTACATGTTTTTGAACAAGACTAACACGTCTTAACAAGACATGCAACCAGTGGTTGCATGTCTTGTTAAGACGTGTTATAGTCTTGTTCAAAAACATGTACTGTGTATGTAAATGACCGCAAAATTTGTTGGATAAAACCATTCGTCCGTATATTCATATTGAACATTAAAAATATCCATGTTGTACAGTGCTAATGATAAATGTATTTGGCAAAGTTAAATAAATATCAAGGTTTCGCAAACCTATGATTATTCAGACACTCTATTTTCTTAAAAAAGAATATAAACCGTGAACATTGTTAAAGTACTTACAATTAGTGATTGACCGATAATCGGCATCGGGCCGATTTTTGCCTTGTCGGTCGACTGATATTATGACGTCATTATAAAATCGGTATCGGTCAGATTGTGGCATGAATAATCGATAATTTCCGATTGTTGCACAATCGATCAATCACTACTTACAATGTCCCTCCCAAGAGTTTTGAATTAAGTGTGACCAATGAAGACCCAATCCAAACAATGACAAAAACCTCAGCAAACTCAGGACCACCAGCAGCTTCACCTGATATCAAACTGTGTGAACCTTGTAGCATCCTAAAGTACATTTAGCTATTTTCAACACGTTTTTCAAATACCCTGAATTAAAGAGGAACATTTGCTTTAGTGACTGTGACCAAGTCATATAGCCAGAGCTCAATATAACGGTCGGCCACCGGTCAATAGCTGAGCAAAATGCTGATATGGCCGTCTACTGATTACTTTGCACGGACATTATGGCCGACCGTTTTGTCTCATCAATTTGAATATTTCTTCCTTTATTGTTGCAATTCTTTTTAATAGCAAAATCTGTAATCTTTAACACATGCAAACAAAGATTCCGTCTGCTAGACAATCACAGAATCTGACTTCGTGCCGATCCACACAATAACACTATGTAGTCTCGTCGATTAAAACAACCGTGTCTATTAATAACTGCTTCAATACCAAGATTACAAGAAATTTATATCAGTCTGAATTTCCAGTGATTTTTAAAATTTGGACGATTCGAAAGAGGAGACTTGATTTTGCTCCTACTTTCCAAACAAATGTTTCCTTACACGAGAGAGACTTTTTATCTTATGTATTACACTCGTTTTCAAAATTACGCGACCAAGCCGAAAATAACTAGAGTTGACATGTCAGTTTTATGTCATGCGATCACGAAGTTCAAATTGTTTACAACTTTGAGTTTTTGTATTGTGTAATTTTGTTAACCATTATGCATATGCATATGGACTATTGATAGTTAATGTTACGGTTTTGGTTTCTAGTACTGACAACTGACAATGTCCCTATATTGAGAATAATTAAGTGTCTGATCATGTCCGACCAAAACATGGGTTGGTCTGACACAATTTCAGACCAAGTTTTCAGAATTATATTGATCTCTGCATATAGCAGATGCCAAGCATGTACATTGTTCTCCTGTGGGCAAAAAACCCGCATGAAATAGACATGACGGAATGTGCCTACTTGCTTGGGTGGACGACAGAAGTAAAATTATAGAGAATTCAATATTTCAATGGAATATCGAATAAAATTAATCTTTCTAAAGAACATGTCACGAACATTTTTGTTTCTGAATTTTAGGTAGATCTTTAACCCTTGCATTTAATTTAAAATTCTAATCACACCAAACACAATTCACAAGATGCAAATGTTTGAAAACACAGTAGAGGAAACCATCTATGAAAGGAAATATTATTTAAAATTTTGTTATGATAATGAGTGAAAAATAAAACATCATTAATACATAATTATACATACACAGCCAAGAATATACACAACACCAGAGGCCCCCATAGATCCCCTAAAACAAATTAATAAAATGTTAAAACAATAATTAGGTTATATAGCAACATTGTAATTGATGGACTAACAGAGGCATTGTTGTATGTAATGTCGAAATTGTGTGTATTTAATTAACATGATATTGACAATGTTCAAAAATAATCCTGACATCAGCAAAAATATTTTTCAAAAATTCGATAACTATAAAGAAGAAATCAACCCAAAATGCTTGGTAACAGTAAGTTGTAGTAGCAATATACAAAACATATCAAAAATAGCAAATCGAAGCTTTAATTGTAGATGTTTTGACATCCAATACAACCCAAGAATAGTGCACCACACATATATTTCGAACTTTCTGGAGAACAAGGTGGGCTGGAGGGGGCACAAATGGCCTACTCAGTTCCCACTTTGGCACTGCATGATCAATAACAACTGATCTAAAAATTAATTTAAAAGAATATAAGGAATTTAAAAATAATTTAAGCCATAATTACATTCTCTCAACAATGTTTTTGTTTCTCTTGGCCACAAGACATGGAAAAATTTCTTGCCAACAGCTTTCGCATCCCTTTTCTAAAAACAGAGCAGTCTAGTAAACATTAAATATCAATGTGTAATCAGGGGCGAAACTAACCCCTTTTAATTAGGGGTGTCTGCTAGAATTGCCCTGCAAAAGCTGATGATGCCCTGCAGCAATTTTTTTTTGGCCACTATTTTTCCCAAAAATGTTGGCGAGGTTGAAAACATTTTTTTCAGACATTCCAAAAAAGGGTCGAAAAAATTTTTCCGTACATAAACCAAATAAATTAAGGGTCAAAAAATTTTTTCCGTACAAATTCCTGTTAAAACATGCATGAAACCCTTATTTTTGGACCAATATCTGTAAAATTTGGGTCTATAAATCCCTGTAAGTTACTTAATAACTCTACATTCTATCATTTAAAATCTTTGATTGCCCTGCCAATCCAGATGATTCGCCCTGCCAATCCAGATGATTCGTACTTTGGGGGGGGGGAGTCACCCCCCATACCCCCGTCAAGTTTTGCCCCTGTGTGTAATTAATAATAATAATAACATCCATAACTCACCAAGGAGGAAATTTACTATTATCAGAAGTAGGTTTTTGCCCCCTCCGGATGGCAGATATTTCCTGGACCATGGTGGGGATCGTTCCTGGAATATCCTCTTTGAAAGTAGAATAAGGTTCCCTGGGGTGGGAAATTTGTCATAAATTGTGTCATTAATATACCAAATATTGACCTACATCAAATTGCGAATCGAAATTGGCCTTTCAACATACAATACCTAGTGTAGGAATTGGCTTTCAAGAAGGAAGTAATCAATTGGAATCAACTTTATGACTAAAAAATGACGTATTCCTGAATCAGGGTGAGATTTGACTGCCACGATTGCTACCACAACTCTCACTTTGCTTAGTATACATCTGATTGATTAATGGACCATTTGCATTATAGACTAAATTTTGATCTAGACCAGAATTTCATCACAGCTTGAAAGAGCATCACAAAATTAGTAATATTCCAAAGTTTCGTTGCGAAATGTTGTAAAATGCGGATAATATAGCCTTGCGAAATTTGCAATTTTCAGTCATTTTGTATTACAAACGGGAAATTGATGCCCCAACACCCGATTGGGCTGTCGATTTCCCGTGCGCAATACAAAATGACTGAAAAACGGCAAATTTCGCATGGCTATATTATCCGCATTTTACAACATTTTGCAACGAAACTTTGGAATATTACTAATTTTGTGATGCTCTTTCAAGCTGTGATGAAATTTTTGTCCAGATCAAAATTTAGTCTATAATGCAAATGGTCCATTGGGTAGGTTCAACCCATCTGATTGGTTACTGCAAGCGGTAGCAGTAGTGAAAGTCAAATCTGGACATCTTTATTATAAATTAAAATTGAATGTTGAGCAGGCCTTAAAATATCTTTTACAGGGCCGTTTGACAAAATGTCCGGTGATGTTGAGTTTGGGTCGGAAATATGTCCGATGACCTTCAGTTCAGTTTTGACTCGGAAATAAGTCTGAATGACACAAATGAATAAACGGTAAATGTTGTAAAGATATTTAATAATTTGTTTCTTTCATACTTATTTCCAAGCCAAAATTAGCTTGCTTGCCAGAGCAGCAGTATTAAAAAAGACTTCGACAACTTAAGCCCGTTTTCCACTTCACCATTTCGCTCGCCGCCCGTGCTCAACTACGTTAAAACAACATTTCCAGTTCACCGTTTATACAATAGTACTCTGATTTTCCATTTAACATACAAGCTAGCATCTATTCCTGGGCTAGGGTACATTTTGATTTACATCGGACAAAGCTACAGTTAAGTCGGACACCAATACACTTGGGTCGGACAAACAATAAAACTCAGTTTCACTTTGGTCGGGCAGAATGTCCGGTGGTTTCCTCTCTACGTCGGACAATTTCACGAATGGGTCGGACAATGTCTGTGACCGACCAAACTGGAAAGTTTGCAAATTGCACAACCGAGATCAAAATTTTCCGGATTTTTGCGCATCTAGTTTTCGAATCTGCACGTCTGGTGTCTAAATTAACGCGTGCAGTTTTAAATATAATTCATAGTTTTTAGTTATCGCCAAACGTGACAAAGTAAAATTGTTTATTACAGCTGTTCATGTTCTATGATAGTTTATTTGCTTACGAAATTTAAATTTTTTAAGAATGATCACATTCACATGCACCACCATACGGAACGCTCACCAACATTCGTTGCTTGCCAGAGCCTTTTTTAAGAATTTGTCTGTGGGAAGATAGCAATCTACAAAGAGGGATCACACTATTGTATGTAATAGTAAGGGGGATCTGGGGGATTTTCCCCCAGAAAATGTTTGTGTTTTTCCACCGCTAGAACTGCATTTCGTGCATTTTGTGATGCACAGCGTTACATTATACTGTAGATATATTCTTACAGAATCTTCAGTTAAGTACTTCCTTGGATGTTTATGTGAAATACCATAACTCCGTCACTAACTTGTTTCGCCGATTAGTCTAACCTTCCAACAACTCAAATCTATAGGGTCTGAGATATGCTATCCAATGAGGCGCGGGTTTAAAATCTAATGTATTCAGGACACAATGTTTAGCATTTTTAAATACATTGATCGAACCATCTGACATTTGCCACTTACATTTGGCATAGCCTCGTGCCCAGCCTCTTTATACTTTAGTTTGCAACCCTAGCGTTCAAATGACGTAATTTCACCATTGTTAAAACTTTTGTCCGACCGTAAACACGCTTGTACGATGGATCCGATCGATCGGACCATCTGACATTTGCCACTTCAATTGTGGCATAGCCTCCTGCCCAGGTTCTTTACTTTCGGCAACCTAGATTTGAAAATAACGTCATTTCACCATCGGTAAAATCTTTGTCCGACCGTAAACAGCTTGTCCGATGAATCCGATCGATCGTGGCATAGCCTCATGCTCAGGCTCTTTCCTTGCAACCCTGGCGTTCAAATGACATCATTTCACCATCGGTAAAATTTTTGTCCGACCGTAAACGTCTTATCCGATGGATCCGATCGATCGATCGGACCATTTGACATTTGCCACTTACATTGTGGCATAGCCTCCTGCCCAGGCTCTTTACTTTGCAACCCTGGCATTCAAATGACGTCACTTCACCAACGGTAAAAGTTTTGTACATGCACACACAAAAAACATTTCGAAAATATAACGGTCCGACCTATATGTCATGCCTGACTGTTGTAATAGTCCTTATAAAAATAAATTAATATCACGTTATGCTATAATATATTTGTCTACGTATATTTGTCCCGCATCGGACAAACTATTCTCCGACGGTAGACATGTTTGTCCATCGGATCAATCAGACTCCGATCGCGGATAAATATTCGGGCTGTATGATATATCTGTATCATACTTCATGAAGTATCAAGTATGTTAGCAGATGGTATATATAGATGGATGATTTCGGCCCTCTCAAATTCAGTTATTTACCGAAGTTGGCAATTTGGCACACTGAGACGCTGACTGCTGTCATGATTATATTTATAATTTATAAATGATTCCTTTATAAATGATTCCTTATTCTGTTATTCAGTTGTAGTGCATTTCAACATTTCGAAATTCGAATCATTCCATCCTGAACAACACGCGTCAGTGTATTATATATGTGTGTAATGTGTTATTGTATATTTGTACACAATTCAGTTTCTGATAATACAGAATACAAATTTGACATTTCCATAAAGTGCGACACAAAAACATGAAACAATTTACAACACTACAGAAATTATTCAATAGTCTCTTGATGAATGATCGCCGTGGAACAACAGCACAGGCCCTCAATGGTCGATGTTCGCCTTGAAAAGCCAAAACCAAAAGACCGCCGAAATACAATTAGATCAAATTTCGGAATGGCTGATGTTTATTGGTTATTATTGTGCCTCGTCAGAAATGAACATTCACCATGCCAATGCCACATTGATCACACATAACAGCTAAAATTTGCGGCCGCTGGCATGTATAAATTTGAGAGGCGCATAAAATTGCGGATTTCCTGTGTCTCGCGACATTTTTCATGCGCGCTGATTTGTCTCATGCAGTGCGCGCTTGATAAAAAGTGTAATTTTAACACGCTTGAAAAATTGTGCATTTTCAATTTCACCTGCGCCTCATTTTGAAATTGCGCGTTTGACAACAGATTTTTGAAAATTGCGCGTCTGAGCGCGCATTTTGAAAAAAATTGCGCAACCGAGATCGCGTTTGCGCAGTACAAACTTTCCAGTCTGAGTGACCGACCAATATTTTAAGGCCTGAATTGTTGAGTCTCGAGACTGCACTACAAGTTTTCGACGCAATCTCAGGTGTGCAGCAATCCTGTCTGAACTTTATTCAAATGTGCATTTAAGTTAGTGTTACACAGTACAAGTTGCAGGTAACAAGTGTGAAAAGTCATTGGACAAAAAATTCTAGAGTGTGTCAGTGTGCACTTGTGACTTGCCCATGTATTAATTTGGCCATGTATTATAAAAGTGTCTTACCAATGTTTCCGAGACTGGTTCATCTAAAGTACTTGGTTCATCATCACTATCAGGAGCACCAGGAACTGTTATATCACCTTCAATATCAATCTCTGCGGATGAATTAACTGACATCAGTGGAGATTCTTGTTCTCCACTTTCCGCCATATTTGTTTTGTTGTCGGTTATATCACAGTTTAATCTTTGTGGTTTAATGATATACAGTTGTGTAACTCGCGGCCATCAGTATTGATTATGACGTCCCCAAGAATCGAATGCTCGCGTCATTTTTGTCGCGTCACGAAATCGCGAAAGACCGTGTCGCTTGCAGATTTCAATACAAAAACATAAGGGAAACAGCATTCGAACGGTGAAATATGCTAATTTTACAAAGTTTG